AACTCTATTATAAACTTTCATGAGTGCTACAAAAACGCCGGTCGAGGCGATGTTAGTAAAAATGTTTAATGAAATTTCGGATGCCAACATAGATGCAATTATGCAAACAGGTAGCTTGCTATCTTCATATCGGTATTTCATTGACTTGTTTTGAAGATTTCCATTTTTTTGTCTATCAGTTATCTATTGGTAGAAGTGCTGAATTGTGTATGGCTGTAAATGCATAGGTTTCTTTTTAAAGATATGCATCTGTTTCAGAGAGGGAAAAACGAAATTTCGTCCCCAGTTTAGTTTTTCAACTAATTTTCCATGATATCCTTTCCAACTGATTTATCTTACTTAGTGACTTACTTATTGAAATAGGAAGTAATGGCAGGTGGTCTGATCGCCCCGAGGCTGTTTGAATTTAAAAAAAGTGCGATAAATTTCCTAAAGCAATTCCCTATATTGAATCTGTGCGATTTCCCTTCAAAATATCCATTTGAGTTCGAAGGGGGCATTTGTATCGCAGTATTTTATCCGCCGGTTGGGTTAGTTCGGAGATCGCAAGGAGTATTAACTTGCTAGTATCTCAAGAGTTTTAAAATGTTAAATTTCACGTCACAACAAAACAAAGACTCGATGAAATTATCCGTGTGTTCGTTGAGTTCCGCTGCGGAGATTGAGGATATCAAATGTAAATTCAATCCTCACATTTTTATTTACGTGAACGCGATTTTATCCATCACTGCTCTACTTGGAAACTTCGTCGTTCTCGTCGCGCTTCGCAACGAATCTTCTCTCCATCCACCATCAAAGCTTCTATTTCGTTGGCTTTGGTGTACAGACCTCTTGGTCGGACTGATTTCTCAGCCCATTTTCATTGTTTATCACAAGATGATCGCTGACGAAGTGAGAGACGTTTGTGAAGTAACTGAAAGCTTAGCTTACATTACAAGTGCAGTCTTGTGCGGACAATCTATCAACACATTGACTCTTATAAGTATGGACAGGCTTTGTGCTTTACTGTTCAGGCTGAGATACAGGCAGATTGTAACTTTAAAACGTGTCCGTTCCTCAGTCATAATCTCCTGGATTGCAAACTTCACTTTTGCATTGACTTACTTGCGGAACAAGAAATTTTTCTTTATGGGTTCTTGCATATGGCTATGGCTGTTCTTAAGCATATCTTCTTGCTGTTACTTGAAAATTTATATCCAAATTCGCCACCAACAAGCGCAAGTACAGGAACAGGATTCCAATTGTACAGTTTCGTTAAACTTGGCGCGGTACAAGAAGACTGTTTTAAGCGTTCTGTGTATACATTTGACATTATTAGTGTGTTATCTCCCTTATACTGTTACAACCGCTGTTATTTCACTCGAGGGGATATCACACTGTAAAGCTATCATTTGGAACATAGCTGGAGTGTTGGTTTTTCTAAACTCTTCTTTGAACCCAGTTTTGTACTGTTGGATGCTAAGAGAAATAAGGCAAACGGTAGTGGACATTTTCAGGCAATTGTTTTTCTCATCATAAGACTAAATACAAAGTTCTCCTACGAAAGCAGAAGTTATTATTTTTAATTGACTTTGTAGAAATAAGATACAGTTGAAACTCCTTAAGTGCCTCCCGGTTAGCTCAATGGATAGAGCTCTGGACTGTTGTGCGGGAGGTCGAGGGTTCGAGCCCCGGCCGGACCAACACTCAGGGTCTTAAAATAATTATTGAGAAGAATTTGCTGCCTTTCTATAACATCAAGAAATGGTTAGATATTCTAGTCTTCTCGGATAGGGACAAATAAATGGAGGTCCCGTCTCCTGCAGGGTTGGGGTAGGAGATGTTAATTTCCCACACACGAGTTTACTGTGTGATGGATGTCCTCCCCTGGGGTGGGATGGGTGGGATACTGGGCGCACTTAATTTGGAGCCTCGCTCTGTTGTGCGACCGTCACCATACTCTGGTGTAAGTGATAAAATAAATAAATAAGTGGTCATTCTCTTAAGACTCTCTTAAACCTTAGAGGGTGTCCTTAACTATACTTAAGTGCGTCTAAGAATGGTTTCACACCATCTGAAGTTTGTTTAGCGGTTTTGAAGCGCTTTGCGATTGATTTTCCGCCGCAAGATCAAAACCAAAGTAATTAGGGACAGCCAGTCAGAATAAAGGGAGATATTCCATAGAGCGAGTGAGAACTCAAGTGGAAACAAGTTAACTCCCTTGAGCGCGAAAAAAGCGGGTTACCAAGTCGTGATTTGTTTCAGCTTTGAACCTAATTGGTCGAAAAGGCGTCGCGATTTTCATGTACCAATCACCGAGCTTAGCGCAGTAAAAACTAACGCAATCCCAGATTGCTCTCGACGCTCATCGTTCTTAACAAGAAATTTTAATTTCTTATTATTTGTAAACTGATAGGATGATGTATTATCTGATCTGACAGTTTTTTTTTAAAAACAATAAATTCAGTATTATCCATATCTATTCTAAGCAAGCGCACTAAGACTTCCGCACAGGTTCTTTGTGATAAGTTTTTCAGTTGCCCTGAGGGTAAGTTCATATAACGTGTCAGTTTCCCATGCAAGTTAAGCATACTTTGGCTCTATGAAATTATTTTTTGCTAGAGCTAGGGGGTATGTTTGAATCACAATGTCCTGATTTATCCTATTTCCTGTTTTATTTTTCTCA